ACACACACACACACACACACACATCAAAAAAAACCCACTGGGGTTCACTATGAGTCAGAATCGACTCAATGGCAGTGAGTGTTTTGTTTTTGTTTTTTTGTACTATAAATTCACACTCTGTTTATATCTTAAGTCTGTATCACACTTGGGGGATAATCATTAAATTAACACTAATGAGTAGTAAGTTATCTTTAAATCTATTTTTTAAGCTTCTAAAAGGTCATTGCTATTTCTAGTATTCTCAAATTTTACAGAAATGTACATCTACCTTAATTACATGTATTATATTTTTACACACATCAATCACATTTCCTTTCTGGACCCACTTATTTTTGTATAAAAAATACAAAACAAAATCCATACTGACCAAACAACAAAAGAAAAAGTGCAAATCCAAGAGAAACAATGTCCAAAGAATACAACATAAAAAGCTGATCAAAGCTCACCTCTTTAGGGCACTGATTTTTGCAACAACTGAGGAGGTTCTTCTCATTTACATCAGCTGTGGTTATTTTTCTAAAAATAGGAGAGAAGTTTTGATGAGATTTTTATCAAAGTTCATTTTATAGCACAATTTTCTAAAAGTAATTCACAACTGCAAAAATAGCCATAAATTATTTTACGTATTTCATTTTTCCTCAAGAAATATTTTTAATTGTATCCTTCTGTAACAGTTATCATCAGATTATTAAACTGTTGTGTTAGCTCACACCATGCACCCCTTTATCTTCTACCAACAAATCAAATGTCAGAAGGGCAATCGATGCAAGAAGTGAATACAAAACACATACAAAATATCATCTGTACCTAGCCTCTCTTTAATAATCCCTTGTAACTTTCCTTTTTTTTTTTTTAAAAAAAAGAACACCCTGTTGTCGAGTCAGATCTGACTCATAGTGACCCCTCCTTGGGTTTCCAAGGAAGTATCACTATGGAAGTAAATTGTCTAGTCTTCATTCCAAGGAGTGGCTGGTAGGTCTGAACCGCCAACCTTCTGGTTAGCAGTCAAATGCCTTAGGCACTACTCCAACAGAGCTCCCACTTTCCTTATAGAGCAGCCATTTTCATATTCTTAAAGCATTGAAATAGAAAATGAAAATCATGACTTAATTTACTTCAAACTTTCTAATAACAAAGTTGCTTTCTGGATAAGTTATCTGTTCATATTAGAAATCAATTAAGATCGGAAAGACGTTCAGTCTGTGTTTCTATATCAGACTCAAATCAGTAATCCAGAAAAAGTCACAAATACCAGGGAACAGAACCACAATTGACAATCACGGCATGTGTCATGTCATGGATTGAACTGTGTCCCAAAGTATGTGTCAACTCGGCTGGACCATGATTTTCAGTGTTGTTGTTATGTGCTGTCGAGTTAGCCCTGACTCATAGTGACCCCTCCTCCTTGGATTTCCAAGGCAATATCACTATGGAAGTAGACTGCCCAACCTTCCTTCCGAGAAGTGGCTGGTGGGTTTGAACTGCCAGCCTTCTGGTTAGCAGTCAAGTGCCTTAGGTACTATGCTACCAGAGCTCCTTGATGATGATGATATTCAGTGGCAGCTACATAATGAAGCAATGTACTACTTATACCATGACTCCCCATAATGTTATCTGATGCTTGTATGTGTGGAATGCCCTGGGGACAGCCACAGTAAACCAGCCCAGGCTCAGTAGAAGGCAAGTGTTTATGTGAGTGGAGCACTCCGGGGACAGGTCCACAGTAAACCAGCCCGGGCACAGTCAAAGGCGGGTATCTGTGTGTGTGGAACACCCTGGAGGCAGGCCAGGTAAGAAAGCAGGGAGCAGGAGACGAGGAAATGAGGGGAGCAGTTTGGAACAGCTAACGAAGACAAACTTATCCATTAGTTTGTAGTACTGTGGTGGCTTGAGTGTTGCTGTGAGGCTAGAGGCTGTGCCACTGGTGTTTCAAATGCCAGCAGGGTCACCCATGGTAGACAGGTTTCAACAGACTTTCCAGACTAAAACAGACTCGGAAGAAAAAAGAGACCATCCACTTTAAAGGAACTGGCCAGTGAAAACCTTATGAATAGCAGTGAAATGCTGTCTGATATACTACTGGAAGACTTTTGAATAGCCCTGAAACACTGTCTGATATAGTGCCAGGAAGATGAGCCCCTCAAGTTGGAAGGCACTCAAAATACATCTGGGGAAGAAGTGCCTCCTCAGAGTAGAGCCGACCTCAATGATGTGGATGGAAAAAAGCTTCAGGACGTCCATTTGCTGATGTGGCACGTCTCAAGATGAGAAGAAACAGCTGCAAACATCCACTAATAATCGGAACATGGAATGTATGAAGTATGAATCCAGGAAAACAAGTTGTCAAAAATGAAATCGAACACATAAAGATCAATATCCTAGGCATTAGTGAGCTTAAATGGACTGGTTTTGGCCATTTTGAATCAGATAAACATATGATCTACTATGCCAGGAATGACACACTGAAGAGGAATGATGTGTCATTCGTTGTGACAAAGAGTGTTTCAAGATCTGTCCTGAAGTACAATGCTGTAGGATAATATCCATACGCCTACAAGGAAGACCCATTAATATGACTATTATTCAAATTTATGCCCCAACCACCAAAGCCAAAGATGAGGAAATTGAAGATTTTTATCAATTTCTCCAGTCTGAATGTGTTAATTATCACTGGTAATTGGACTACAAAAGTTGGAAACAAAGAATCACTGGCAGTCAGAAAGTATGGCCCAGTGATAGAAATAATGCTGGAGATCGCATTATAGAATTTTGCAAGATCAACAACTTACTCATCGCAAATACCTTTTTCTCAACAACACAAACAGGGGCTATACACATGGACTTCTCAAGATGGAGTAAAAAGGAATCAGATTGAATACATCTGTGGCAAGAGGCAATGAAGAAGCTAAGCATCTTCAGCCAGAACAAGGCCAGGAGTTGACTGTGGAACAGACCATCAACTATTTATATGCAAGTTCAAGCTGAAGTTGAAGACAATTAAAACAAGTCCAAAAAAAAAACCTCATTCACAGCAACCCCCACCTTGGGTTTCTGAGGCAGTATCACTATGGAAGTAGATTGCCCAACCTTCCTTCCAAGGAGTGGCTGGTGGATTTGAAAAAGGCCAGCCTCTGGTTAGCAGTCAAATGCCTTAGGCAGTACACCACCAGAGTTCCCAAAACAAGTCCACAAGAGCCAAAATATGACCTTGATTATATATATACATCCCTCCCGAATTAAGGATCATCTAAAGAATATATATGACGCATTGAACATCAATGACCAAAACCCAGAGGAATTGTGGGATGATATCAAGAACATTACCCATGAAGAAAACAAAAGCTCACTGAAGAGACAGGAAGGGAAGAAAAGACCAAAACAGATGTCAGAAGAGACTCTGAAAATTGTCCTTGAACAGAAAGTAGATAAAACAAATGGAAGCAATGATGATACAAAAGAGCTGAAAAGATTTCAAAAAGTAGTTTGAGAAAAAAGGGAGTCTCGCCAGTGAGCAGCACGCTTTTTTTCCCTCTGGCATCTAAGGACTTTGAAAACTAGGTACAACAGTTTGAATTAGGAACTTTGGTGCTCTGAACAGCTCACTGAATCAGAGTGCAACAAACACAGAAGAGCAGAATTAGAGGAAAGGCACAGGGAGATTATTTAGGAAAGAGCTACTGGCGGAGGACGGATGGGCACCCGAGAGAGACCATTGCAAACTTTCCTGGGGTAGTCACTGTCTGCCGGGTGAGGGCGGCCGCCTGAGATCCCCGAGCCAAGAAGGCATACCAACAGCATACCAGCAACCACTAAATATTCCAGTGGGCAGTGGCAGAGACCTGCCTCCAGCAGCTGATTTTGTTGGTAATTTGGGTCGTCTGGGTCATCTGGGTGCAGGCAAGCATGGGCACCACTGCTGAGATTCAGGTGGAGATCTCACTGTTATGACAGAAAAGCTAGCTCCCTCCCCTCCCATCAGATCACAGAGCAGGCTTGGGTCAGACTGGGAGACACCGTGCTTTTCTTTGTCATGGATATCGGGACTGTACGTTACCAGCAGGTACTTCCCCGACTCCAACAAAGCTGAAACTGCGCAAATCTTTGGCGCCGCAGGTGGGCGGTATCACAAACTCCAGAGCCAGCCATTAGTGGTCTGGTGGGATTGCGTCAGCACCGCAGGCAAACGGAGCACAGAGAGCAAAGACACTGCAGCTGAGTGCAGTCCCACAAATTTTGCCTTGGAGCTGTGCTTTGGTGCTGTGGGGCCGTGAAGGTAGGGTCTTTGAGTGTGCCTGAAATTGGCACAAATTTGCGACCCTCTAACAATAGGAATCTTTCCTGAGGTTGAGCCGCAGTCTTGCAAATAAATACATCATCAATAATAGCCTACTCAAAGCCATAGAAACTTACCCTAGCAACACCAAGCTTTCTTTCTTTTGCTCCCACCTTCTCCACCAATAACTTCACTCATTCAATAGAAGAAACCATATTCAGCCAATTACCATAAATTCCCACTTCGAATTCTAAACCCTCTTTACGAAAAACAGAAACACATATCCATACTACACACGTTGAGTCTACCATCACAAAAGAAAACAGCAGAGCAACCCAACACACCTGAATCAATAATAAAATAAAACACACCAGCTTCACCTTTTCGAAGTATTAAACCATAAAACCAAGACAAAACAAATCAACACATAACCAGCAGCTAGAGACAACCTAAAGAGATAGCGCTCTACCAGATTCCAAGGGCTTAAGAAGAGGTTCTGCTTTCTAGTAACTCCAAAAACTCTCTAGACCTGCACTACATGACTTAAAAGGTTGTTTACACCTTCTTTTTTTCTTTTTTTTTCCCCTCTCATGATTAACCCCATT